AGTGGACACCGACTGGGGCGAGAACAGTTTGTTCATCTTTGCGGCCATCTAACCATTGTTCGTAATGAAGTTGCCGTCCCCGAAGCTAATAGACTGGTTAGATGTGTCAGCCCGGAGCTTGGTCAGGTTGCATAGAAGTTTCCACGTGGTAGCTGAGTTGCCGTGAAAATTGCAGTCTACAACCAGCGTTGGCGTTTGCCGTCATTGGAGATTTTTTTATCAAGCCGTTCAGTTCGCCGATACGCGGGTCATTGGCATCACGTGCTCGTATATCATCTCTCTCGCATTCCAGGCGGAATAACAATGTCGAGACGACCGGTGAGCGCGGGTGCAGCGCCCAGCAAATCGAAGTAACTCGCCTATGCTGCCGCACACGGCCTGATCGCTTCTACACATGTCAGGCACTGCAAGGCTGGCTCGATTCTCGCGCGCGTGAGTGGAATAAAAGAGTCATTGAAACTCTACTCTCCGTCCGGAGAAGGGCCGAGTTACCTCGTCACTTGGCAGTCTTTTAAGCCAAGGCTCCTAGCGGGTAGTGATAGATTTGAACGCGTTAAATTTATCGCAATGAGGAGTGCGCTGATGTCGTACAGATGGACTTCCTACTGTCGACTCCATGCCTTCTTCCTTCTCCCATGCGCTAGTCGACTGTCCGAACCTGTCGACCAACAATTGGTGGAATTGGGTGTAATTGCTGAGACGGTGTGAAGGCTTACCTCCTAAGCGTATCACGGGCATGCACATCAGTAGTTATGGGCTCGCGCGGACGGCCTAGCAAGACCAGATATTATGAACTCTAAATGAACCAAGCTTCACTGAAAGGGGCCTCCTATCTCTCATAAGAGTGCTGTCAAGGCTACTCCAGAAAGAAATCACTGTAGTTAGACCCTGGCTCTGAAGGAGAGCTGAGGTATCTCGTCAGTTGGCAGTCTTCCAAATGACAACTGGTAGTGTATAGTTACTGTTTTAAGTGCGTCAAATTGTAAGAAATATATGAGACGTGTTTTCGGAAGGAAAAACTACCCAGCAATCATCCTTGTCCCCTTTCGTCCACCAGTGGCCTGTTCAGACTTGTCGGTCTGCCAGCTGTAACTGGTGTGACGTGAACTCCCGCTGTACGTGAATAGTCAGGAAATCTGCAGGTTCATTGTAGCCGAAACGCCGCGCCACACGAGACTGTAACTTCCGCCTTCACCTAGGGTAACAACGACGTAGCCCATAATTCATTCAACTTGCACCTCCGAAAATGGCCATTAACAACTGCCGTGAGCAAACTACCAAGTACTGCACGACTGCGCCAAATTTTTTCTGACGCAACCATTTCCTTTTTTAGAACTCTGAGCCACTTGCTCCTACTGCGACTACAACCTGGATATCTGGACCGTCTGATTGACAGCATGCATGATCTCAAACGTCAGGCAGACCGCGCCAAAACCAAAATGGTAGAGGCCACTGCCGCCGTTAAGCAAGCTGAAAACGAACTCACAGACCTTCATGCAGAACTAGTTGAGGATCAGCGCGAGTGCAAGGAACTTATTCGCTTCGTAAGTACTAGATCGTTATCCTCGGATGCGCACATTTCAAGCAATACTTTTTTAAATAAATAATTTGCTGAAAATATCTGCACAGAATGTATTTCTGGTACTTACTTTAAACGCAAATGAGGATGACTGCAAGCGTTGTAGCCTATAACTTAACACTTTGACTGCGG